TTCTGTGTTCCCTTGTAATAAGGCAAGTTCTAGTCGTGTCCCAAGAAGCGATTCTACAAGAACCCATCAGAGGAAGCGTAAGGAGGCTCAGGATTTTCATCCTCCTCCTCCTCCTCTTCCTTAGCGCTTATGTGCTGGAATTGTCAAGGGTTGGGGAGCGACTTGACAATTCACAGGGTAAAGGAGATCTGCAAGGACATATCTCCTGACATTATGTTCCTCATGGAAACTAAACACGACGATGACTTTATCCACGGCAAACTTCCTCTGTTACAGTTTCCAAACTACTTCTCAGTACCCCCCGTTGGACTCTCTGGTGGCTTATCTCTGTTCTGGAAGGATGGAGTCCAACTCACGGTGCTGGAATCATCGCCGAATCTGATTGATACACAAGTGACTCATAAGGGGACTACCTCCTTTATCTCCTTTATCTATGGAGCACCGGCGTTGGTGAACAGGGCTCAATTCTGGGAGAAGTTATCCCAAGTCGGTGCAGCTAGAGACCAGCCGTGGTTGATCTCGGGCGACTTCAACGACATCCTCAATAACACAGAAAAAGTGGGAGGTCCAGCACGTTGGGAAGGGTCATTTGTGCCTTTACGTTCTTTTGTATCGCAAAATGGGTTATGGGATTTAAAACATTCGGGTAACCATTTGTCGTGGCGCGGAAACAGATATACTCATTTTGTACGATCTCGACTTGATAGATCAATGGTTAATTGTTCTTGGAATGAATTATTCCCGATGGGACGCTGTTGCTATTTACGGTTTGAGGGATCAGACCACCGCCCACTCATTACATATTTTAACAAACCTGGTGCTAAGCGACGAGGCATGTTCCGCTTTAATCGGTCTCTTACAGATAATCAGGAGGTAGAAGCAGTGGTGAAAGAAGCTTGGCACCACCACCCGCTAGACTCTGTCATTACTAAGCTCAATGCGTGTCGACGAAGGATCATTCAGTGGGCTAAGGAGCAAAACCTTAAACACAACGAGTTGATCAAATCTTACCAGCTTGACCTCGAGACTGCACTGTCTGCTACCCACCCGGATCGAGACGCCATTGAAAAATTTACAGATTCCTTAGTAGCAGCTTATAAGGAGGAGGAAGCTTTTTGGCAGCAACGCAGTCGAATTCAGTGGCTGAAGTGTGGGGACAGGAACACTGGGTTTTTTCACGCTGCGACGAGACAAAGACGCTTGATCAATGCTCTGTCGGTCATTGAGGATGATGAGGGCTCAGAATTCTTCGAAGACAAACAAATCTGTTTGGTCATTTCCGACTATTTCAGTAAAATATTCACCTCCAACGGAAATACAGATTTTTCTCGTTTGGCTGAGATTTTGCCTCGCAAGATTACACCGGAGATGAATATGGGACTTACATTAATACCGAGTGATTCGGAAATAAAAGAAGCTGTGTTTTCGATCAATGGGGGAAAAGCTCCGGGCCCGGACGGATTCTCCGCAAAATTCTACCATGCGTATTGGCACATCATTGGAGCGGATGTTTGTAAAGATATAAGACAGTTTTTCACCACTGCGACCCTCCATCCGCAACAAAACGAAACCCATGTGAGACTGATCCCTAAGACCACCACTGCGAGGAAAGTGGCCGAGTATCGCCTCATTGCTCTTTGTAACACCCACTACAAGATCATCGCGAAAATACTCACTCGCCGACTGAGACCACTCCTACCAGATATTATATCAAAATCTCAGTCCGGTTTTGTGGCTGGAAGAGCCATTGGAGACAATGTCCTAATTACACATGAGACGCTCCACTATCTCCGCACCTCTGAAGCAAAGAAGCATTGCTCTATGGCCGTCAAAACGGATATGAGCAAGGCCTATGATAGGATCGAATGGGGTTTCCTTCGAGCGGTTTTAGAACTATTGGGTTTTGACCAGATTTGGATCTCTTGGGTGATGAGTTGTGTTGAGTCTGTATCGTACTCCTTTCTCATCAACGGAGCTCCAATGGGATCAGTTAAACCGTCCCGTGGAATACGGCAAGGGGACCCGCTATCCCCTTATCTCTTTATCATTTGCACTGAGACACTCTCATCCTTATGCGATTTGGCGCAGAGAGATGGCTCCCTCCCTGGGGTCAAAGTGGCACGGGGATGTCCGGCTATTACTCACCTACTGTTTGCCGACGATACGATGTTCTTTTGCAGGTCGAGCCCCGCTAGTGTTGCAGCGTTACTGCGGATACTAAGGTTATATGAGAATCTGTCGGGTCAGTGTATAAATTTTACCAAATCTTCTGTGACCTTCTCAGCCAGGACGCCACCGGAGGTTAAGATAAGGGTCAAGACTTCTCTCTCTATTGAAGCGGAAGGTGGCCTAGGGAAGTATCTGGGCCTGCCGGAACATTTTGGCCGGAAAAAACGAGATATCTTTGCTTCGATCTTGGACAGAATCAGACAGAAAACTCTTAGTTGGAAGAATCGTTTTCTGTCGGGTGCTGGGAAACAGATCTTATTGAAAGCCGTTCTCACTGCTATGCCGACTTATTCTATGTCTTGTTTCAAACTTCCGGTCTCCTTGTGCAAACAGATTCAATCACTACTCACGAGGTTTTGGTGGGATGCAAATCCGGAGCAAAGAAAAATGTGTTGGGTAGCATGGTCCACTCTCACTCTTCCGAAATATAATGGCGGATTAGGCTTCCGCGACATCGAGACTTTCAACGATGCATTACTAGCCAAGATCGGGTGGCGACTAATAAAATCCCCCGACTCCCTTCTCGCGCAGGTTCTTTTAGGAAAATATGCTAAAGATTCTTCTTTTCTGGACTGCTCAGCTCCATCAAAGATGTCCCATGGTTGGCGAGGTATACTAGCGGGGAGAGAGATACTCCGTAAGGGCATTGGATGGATCGTTGGCTCCGGAGATTCAATTAGCGTCTGGCGTGATCCTTGGCTCTCCTGCGCAGCTCCTTTAACGCCAATAGGCCCACCGAATCAAGAAGATTCTGACCTCAAAGTAAGTGACCTGCTATGTGCTTTATCGAACACTTGGGATGAGGATAAAATTCAGAGATATCTACCCCAATATAAGGAACAAATCCTCAGTATTGTCACGAGCTCCGCTCCGTCCCAAGATTGCTTGGCATGGTTATTCGACAAGTCTGGTGAATATACCACGAAAACAGGGTATGGAGCAGGAATGGGATTCTCGACACTACCTGACTCTTCACCGCCACCCTTTAGTTGGGTTAAAAATATTTGGAATATCAAGACTCCACCAAAGCTCAAGGACTTTCTATGGAAACTTGTGAGAAAAGCAATCCCGGTTAGTGCCAATTTGGCTCGTCGGGGAGTACCACCATTTAACTGCAAATTATGTGGACAGCCAGAAGACGACCTCCATGTCTTCCTGCACTGCAGTGTTGCGACTCAAGTCTGGGAATTGGCGCCTGTCGTTGCTGCGCCGTCCACTGCGATCACCTCCATTGAAGCTTTGATTGAGGCAGGACACTCCCTCACCGTCCTTCCTCCAGTTGGAGTAGCTGTCTCTATCTCACCTTGGATCCTTTGGAACCTATGGAAAGCAAGGAACAAACTCTGCTTTGAAAATAAAGCTTTTTCCGCTATGGAAATCATTACAAAGGCCATCAATGACGCGAGAGAGTGGCAAAACGCTCAGTCTTCAGACCCATCGTCGACTAAACACCAGTTCCCCTTCTCCGCGTCTGCAACAACCACACGGTCCCCTATCTCTCCCACACAAGGTACTCTATTATGTCACGTAGATGGAGCGTGGGATGCTGTTACTCGCAACTGCGGCATAGGAGGAGTATTCTCGGGACAGGTTCAACGTTGTTGTCCTGAACCCATTCGTGACTCACGTCGCTTTGTTTCTTCGGCGCTTATGGCTGAATGCCTCGCCATCCGTTCGGCAGTTATGCATGCTGCCTCGTTGAATTTCAAGTCCCTAATGATTCTGTCTGATTCTCAATCCTTGGTGAAGCTATTGAAGGAGAGAGGCTCGGTTCCAGCCTTGTTTGGTATTTTATTCGACATTTATCATTTTAGCTTGTTGTTTGATGCTATTTCTTTCTCGTATGTACCACGTTTGGGTAATGTGATGGCTGATTCGGTGGCAAAATCAGCTCTTTCATTGCTTAACTTCACCTCCTCTAATGGAGTGTAAACTCTTTTTAGTTAATTGAAAGTATGTTTGATCAAAAAAAAAAAAAAAAAAAAAGAACTCTATCACAAAGAAGGATTAGGATAAAATCCTGTTGAAAACAAAGTGATAAAAAAAATAAACCAAAGCTGATTCAACTGAACAAAACCATAGGTGGGATTCATATGGACAGCAGCAGAGAAAACACTGGACGGGAAAAACAATAGAAAACCTAAAAAAACTGAAAAAAAGAAAGGATTGGCATCGGTCATAAACCCGCAATGTCTAGTTATCGATGACGATCAACCAGAGTTAATACTCTCTCTACTGTCCATAGAGAATGAACAAGAGCGAATAAACCAAGGTCAATCCAGAACATAGATAAAATAAACTGAGTTCAAGGACCAAGGAACCAAAAATATCTTCAACCATAGGTAAAAAAAAAAAAGAAAGCTAGGTGACGGGGTCCAAAACACATATACAAAAGAAAATGACTGTGATCAAAGGAAGAAATGAGAAGTGTTTAAAACCTTTGCTTGAAGAAAAACAATGCTTGATAGATAGAAAACTCCAACTTAATCCCAAAAATCTTGAAAACATTTTACTAGTAAAGAAAGAAACAGTTTAAAACATGAACGTTGATACCATTACGTCTCATCCTACAAATGGGTCTTAAGAAACTGCATATGAAGATGCAGACTTTTAGCAGTTATGACATATAGTTGACAAACTATAAGCGTCATGACCTTCTTTTGCAGCTATAGAGACAAGACCTTTGATGGTATAACGGAAAACAGACAACAGAAAACCCCATACGCAAAGTCACATAACAAACTTCAAAACCAGCAGCGTGCTTGATAGTAGAATGAATACAGATGAACCAAAAGTGAAAACAGAAGATAGCAAACAACACAAAACCTGGTCTGAATATTTTGTAAGAATAATAAATAGATTATGAGAAGAAAAAAAAGAGACTAACTTCAAATCGGTCATTTCCAAAACGAACAAAGCCGAACAGAGTGTTAAAACTTCCCGATAGCAAGAGAAACTGGAATTTAAACACATATCTCCCTCACAAGTAACAAATGAGTCATATGGGGGATAAACACCTTAAAAAGACAGAACACGAAACTAAGATTGAATACACTAATGTAGAAGATAAAGAAACGCAAAGAACTCCGGCAATTCCCAAAATATCAAACTCCCAGCAACTAGATTAGTCATTAGCCTAACCTAGAACTGAAAGTCTAATTCAAACAAGGCAACATAAATAACAGAGAAGAGAGTCTATCTTATCTCAGATACCAAGCACGTTCACCATCAAAACCACCAGGACCAACACCATTACCTTCACCACCAAATTGCCCCGTCATCCCCATATGGTTCGGTGGTGGGCCATGGTTCATCATCCCCGGCCCAAACATAGGAAAATTCGGTACACCAGAACCCATCTGATTCCCCATGAACGCAGCAGCATACATTGGATTATAACCATGTCCGTAAAAGGGCACGTTCTGTCCACCATACATTCCCATATTCTGCTGGTGCTGCTGTCCCTTGTCGGGACCATTCACATACCCAACACCCACATCTAACCCACCAGGCAAGACCACTTCCTTCTGGTTCAAATCAATCTTAACCGACTCAACAACCGGTTCCCTTTGGAACTTCCCAGCACCAGCCGGTTTAGCCGCGGCTATATTACAGCTAACCGTTCGATTAAACATCCTCTTCTCAGGGTGCCTCAACGCCTCTCTGCAAGCTTTACGAGTCTTGAACATGACAAAGCCGTAGCCTTTGGCTCTCCCCGTGTCTTTATCCATGACGACGGAACAGTCCTCGATCTCCCCGTAGGCCTCGAAAGCGGACTTGAGCGTCTCGTGAGTCGTGTCCCATCCGAGACCGCGCACGAATATGTTCCGCTTGGAGCTGTCTCGGTCGGCGGATTCGAGGACCGCGGAGATGAGTTTGGAGCCCTTTTCGGCGGTTTTGTAAATGAGGTTGATGAGGTCTTCCTTGGTGTAGGATTCGAGGAGGTGTTTGATGTCTTCCTTGTCGAAATCGCTGTCCGAATCGTAGTCGTTGGTGGTGGTGGTGGTGGGAGGAATAGGGAGTTTGATTTGATGAGAATCATTGGAAGGGACGGTTACAGTCTCTGGATCTTCTTCTTCGGATTCGGATTCGGATTCGTCTGGTTTCTTTTGTTTTTTCTTGGGTTTCTTGTGTGGTTTCTCTTCGACTTGTTCGAGTTTCTTCGATTTCTTCTTTGGTTTCTTCTCGGGTTTCTCTGCCTCTTTGGATTTGGATTTGTGTTTCTTAGAGATCTTCTTCTCCTTCACAGCGGCGAGTTCTTCAGCCTCGCGTCGCTTTCTCTCCTTTTTCTCTTTCTTCTCTCTCTTCTCCTTCTTACCATCTTTGCTATCTTTCGCCATTGTTGACGGCAGTGGGGACAAGAACCCTGGGACGAGAAAGTAACTCCTTTTAAATAGGTTGCCATGAAAAAACAATAAATGTTTGTATAAATATATAAATACATAATCTTAAACTATTTGACCAAAAACGTCTGGGTGGTGTAGTCGGTTATCACGCTAGTCTCACACACTAGAGGTCCCCGGTTCGAACCCGGGCTCAGACACTCTTTTCTTTGTTTTTTCATAACCTACGTAAATAATTCAAAGGTTCCCAAGTCCTAATGCTAAGAATATTTACTTGCCTTGTAAGACCAGTTATTAATGGTCCACAGTTGGAAGCCAAGCCCAAACAATTCTTTTTTCAAAATGTGTATTAATTAATCAAAAAGGTGACCAAAAATCTTAGTGGCTGGCTAATAACTAACAAAATCTTGATTAAGTAAATTAAAGTGAATTCGGTTGAAAGAAAATTTTGATTAAGTTAATTAAAGGATTTTTAACATAAAAATCCTTCAACTAAGTTTGTTTTGGGTAAAAACCCCTAAACTAAGTATTTAATGAAAAAACCCCTAAAATAACTTTATTTAGTGAATTAAATCCTCGCCGGTCATAATTACCAGTACTATCGGTAAATCTTCAGTTTAGGGGTTTTATCATTAAACATAAAAATCAATAAAATTCAAAATATAATAACATTATCTAAAAATTTGTAATTTTAATTTTAAAAACTAGCATTTTTTTAAAAAAAAATCGTAACTATATGAGTCTGATTTGTTATCCTTTTAAAATCAAAATTATATATGTATAAATTTAAAATGTAAAAAACCAAGAAAATATAAGAAAAATTATCTAACGATTTACCTGTAATAAAAATTATCAAAAATTTTAAATATAAAAACAAGAAAACATAATAAAAATTATATCTTATTTAATAAAAATGTAATAATAAATCTTTAGATGCTTTTTATTATATTTTGGTGTTTAAAAATTTTAATCTATATATATAATATTGATGTTAAAACAAATCAAACTCATATATTTACAGAAATTTTGCAAAATGCTAATTTTAAAAATTTAAGTTACTAATTTTTAGATAATGTTATAATTTTTTTTTTAGAGTTTTAATGGTAAAAACCCTTCAACTATGTTTAATGTGGGGGTTTACTTGTTAGTTTGGGGGTTTTTACCCAAAACAAACTTAGTTAAGGTATTTTAGAGTTAAAAATCCATTTTACAAGGATAAGAAATCATTCATATATTTACAGAAATTTTTAAAATGCTAGTTTTGAAAATTAAAATTACGAATTTGTAGATAATGTTATTATATTTTTCTTTTTTTTCTTTTTTTTGAATTTTTATGTTTAATGATAGAACCCCTAAACCAAAGAATAACCGGTAGTACTGGTAATTATGACCGGCGAGGGTTTAATTCACTAAATAAAGTTAGTTTGGGGTTTTTTTCATTAAATACTTAGTTTAGGGGTTTTTATCCAAAATAAACTTAGTTGAGGAGTTTTTATGTTAAAAATCCTTAATTAAAAAGTGAATCCGGTTGAAAAAAGAAAATTAAAGTGATTCATGGTCCGTGAAGAATTAAAAAGTCACTTATATACCGGCGAGCGAAGAATCGGTACCAGATCATATAATCTATCACAATCACTTGTTGTTTAACGGAAACAAAGCAGCACTTAAACCCAAAAAAAAAAGAGTTTAAAACGAAATCGGTAATTGCGATGGCGGACGAACTAGAATTGTCACCGTTGGTTCCGCAGTCGCCAATGGTGGATCCTTCCGAGCTCGGGCTGGACATGGCGAACAAACTCAATACCGAATCTGCCTTGAGACTGATGTTAGTTTCGCTTCTCCTTTTAGTGGTTTTATTTTTGCTAGTGTTCGCTTCTTGGTCTCAGAATCCAGTTCGAATTATACAAATTTGGATGCTTTTTAGGGTTTTGGTGTGTTTAGCTACTTGTTGATTCAAGCTCTCGCTGATATATTTGTATTATATTGGTCAGGTAGGGATTTCATTGCCCCTTGCAAATGCAAAGGAACTTCAAAGCATGTTCATTGTGATTGCTTAGATCATTGGAGAGCTATAAAGGTACTTTCTTTCTTTTCTTTTTCAAACTAATGAATAGCAAATGTTTAACCTTTATTTGCATTTCAGGAAGGCTTTGCATTTGCATACTGCACTACTTGCAAGGCTCCTTATTATCTTAGATTTCATGGTGCTGGTGATAGGAAATGGAGGACACTGAAGTTTCGATTCTTTGTTACTCGTGACATTTTATCCATCTTTCTTGTTGTTCAGCTTGTAAGTACTCTCTGCTTTTCTCTTCTTACATTATTATGTTTCTTTCATTTGGTAATTATATCTAACTTATCATCTTTTCTCAGGTGATTGCTGCTTTGGCCTACATGGTCTATTTCGTAGATAGTTTTCAGCAATCATGGCTTCGTCACATTTGGGAGTATGACAGTGACTTCACGGTTTATTACATGTGCGGTATGATCCCACCCAAACTATAATATCTTTAGATAATATAAGTGTAACACCCCGACTGCCCACGGCTAATGGGCCACCCACGTCCGCTCACTCGGGTGGGCCCCATCCCGTTCCAACGGTCGGTCCGTTAATTTTCTAAGACTCTAGAGTCATGTTTACTATCCCTGGAATCACCACATGACCTTTCTCCGTGCTTTGGCCTCAATTACACGGTATCGCAAATCACTTCCCGATAGGTCACTCATCATTTGACTACTCTAGCTCAAGTACGCTTAACTCTGGAGTTCTCTCTGGATGTGCTCCCGAAAAGGTAAGTGCACTTTGGTGACATAGGTAGCCAAATCAATCCTCTTTAGCCTTTCCATATATCACAACTCGGGATATTACAATTCACCCCCTCTCAAAAAACGCAATGTCCTCGTTGCGCCCCACGACAGGTCTCAAGACGCATCTCAGGTCAGAACTGAGATGGCTAACCAGCTCTGATACCACTTGTAACTCCCCGACCGCCCACGGCTAATGGGCCACCCACGCCCGCTCACTCGGTCCATGGGTCCCATCCCATTCCAACGGCCGGTCCGTTAATTTTCCAAGACTCTAGAGTCATGTTTACTGTCCCTGGAATCATCACATGACATTTCCCCGTGCTTTGGCCTCACTTACACGGTATCGCAAATCACTTCCCGATAGGTCACCCATCCTTTGACTACTCCAGCTCAAGCACACTTAACTCTGGAGTTCTCTCTGGATGTGCTCCCGAAAAGGTAAGTGCACTTTGGTGACATAGGTAGCCAAATCAATTCTCTTTAGCCTTTCCATATATCACAACTCAGGATGTTCCAATAAGGATGCCAAATGATTCTTGAATTTCGTTTGTTTGTTTTTGCTCAGGAGCTTTATTATTCTTTGCTATGTTAGGTCTATCTGGATGCTTCATAACTTGCTACGACCGTAGAGTTCGCAATGACTTAGCTCAGCTTTGCCGCGAAATGTGTCTTTGTTGCTGTCAGCCTGGGTATAACCTACTTCTTTCTAACTATTTTCTTCAGTTCTTGTTTGAATAACAAAATTATCCTGTCTAGAATTTACCTTAATATGTAGTATGGCTTTTGCCTTTCTTGGGTCCGTGGATGATATTATCTGTCTAGACAATCCATATCAAAAGTAAACTAGAGAAATTAGTGGATAATAAGTATAGGCAAATAGATAGTTCAGTTTCTCTTCTTGTTTTGGCTAAGATGCAAGCTTTGTGATCTTGCCTACAAACCCATAAATAGGGTTTATAATAGCTATGTTCGTTTTACGTTGTCTCTGCGTCACAGCTCTAAATTAAACGTCAAAGCTGACAAATATAGTAGTAGAATATTAAAAGGAGGCCGCAGCGGTTTTTTATGAAATGTTACCCGTGCTTTCAGTGACGCTAAATAAAACAACGACCATGGAATTGCCTTCGTAGTCAAACGCGGCTGCCGCAACCATTTATTCTCCACATCCTTAAGCCTCAAGAAACTTACAATTGGGAATTATTTTGCAAGTTTGACGCTGACGCTTGCGATCCTTTACCGAACATGGCTAATGTGCCAAAATCTTGCGACTAGTTTTACGTATCTTGCAGCTTCTTGATATGTTGGAAGATTTAATGATATGAAGAATCATAGATAATCTTCCGTTTCGTGTTGACTTTACCCAAAATGCAGGATATGTGCAGACTGCCATCTACCAGGAACTATTTGCATGTGGGCAGATTGCACCGCATGTATTGAAGGATGTGCGAGTGCAGTTAGTGAATGTAGTGGATGCCTTGAGGTGCAGGGGAAGCCGGATTTCCATTGCTCGTCATAATGGCATTAGTAGTTCTCGGTTTATTTACAGTTATAGGTATATTCTACAGCGTATTGGTTGCAACCATGGTTGGTCAACGTATTTGGCAGCGCCATTACCACATTCTCGCTAAAAGAATGTTAACAAAGGTGAGATTTTCATTTTTGTTACCTTCTTCATGGTTCTGTGAGCTTGTTTTTAGTTTTTTTTTTTTAATTTGGCATTTTCTAGGAGTATGCGGTTGAGGATGTAGATGTAGAAATGACAAGATCTGAATGGTCGCCACCTACCGTCTAAGCATATCCAACAGCTAAAGACGTTTGGCCTATTATAAAAACATGTGGCTCCTCGTAGTTGTTTCAACTCCCTCACAGGAAAATTTATCTAACCAAGTGGTGAGAGAGACGTCAGAGTTTAAAGTTTATTAATGCTAAAAGTTTAGAGATGCTTCTTGTTTGTTTGTTTGTAAAGAAAGAAAGGCTCAGAGTCAGAGACCTCTTATTGTAATTATGAGTTGAATGTTTGTTGCTAAGGGTTTTTTTTATATATAGGTGAAATATCTACAAGTGTTGTTCTTTGGGACAAATATTAATCAAATGGTTCAAAATTGATCATCTCTTCTAGCAGTCCAAATTTATGACGTCCAATTTGTGATGAACACAGTGGCTTGAGATATCCCATGAGTTTATCAACTTGGCA